GTGACAGATTTTAGGAGGAACAATATTTAACCTCAGATATTAACTTGGGGAATTTGGAATGGTAGTCATTTGTTATATTACTAAGTTCACAGTTTTGGGTTCATCTTAATCATTCATTAAATAGCGATTTAATGAAGTTTTAATTGTAGTTGTATTATTAAAGGTATTTTTCATTTAATTGTTGTATCATTATTTTTTTAAAAGCATTACAGTGATTCATTTTCTCCCTGGATTGGGGAAAAATTGTTTCATAATAAGAATATATAAGTGATCCACTTTACTGCAAGCAGTGAGGTAAAACATGCCAGAATTTCAACATTTTTATGTTTGAAACCATGCTTTGTTAAATAATGTTAGTGACATCTGGGAGTTCATATATGTACAATAGCAGCATTTTTATAGATTTCTTTTAATGATCAAGTTAATTTAAAAAAAAAAAAATACCAAATTTTGATCTATTTTATTACATTTTATATTAACGACATCTCTGAATAAAAACATTATTCAAAATAGCATCCCCTCATCAAGAGATACTGCACTTGTAGCACTTTTTTTGTGTCTTTCCTTTTTCAAAGTTTTCTTTTGAGTAGTCGCATAGGGACTACATATATCCCCATACCATTTGTGATAACTGTGAAATAAAATAGTTTTGTCCTAATCTTATGGAATTTCAGTGCCTTTCAACACCTTGTTTAACTTCTCTCCAAGAAAAGAAAATCTGTTGTAGATGCTTAAAATAGGATGCATTCTTTGTAATGGGGAACACCTGCGATCCCCATCTATATCCAGATTCGTTTGAGCTATTGCAAAAAATTAAATTTTTTGTGACACTAGTAAACAATAAAAGGCTAGTTACAATACAAATTAGTATATCTGGTTAGATAGTTTCTTCTTCTTATCCACTTCAAGGATAGGTCTATGACCAGATCAGTCTTATGAGAATTCCATCTTTTTAGCGGTCTACCTGGGTCTCTTCTGTTTTTGAGGCATGTCTGTAACATTGTACTTTGTCATTGATTGTTTGAACATTCAATTCTTTTCAAATTTCTTCATTTCTGAGTTTGTTTAGTCTCATACATTTTTTTAAAGATCTCAAGAATTTCATTTCAGCAATTTGAAATGCCCGTTTATACTTCACTCTAGAGTCCAGCCTTCACTTTCAAACAACAGAGACGGGACAGCCATTACTTTATATATCCTCATTAGAGTATCTCTCCAAGTATATGTATCCAAGAGTTCACCGAATTACTCCCCATATATTCCGATATTTATGGATATTTTCATCTACATCCACTTCTGTGAAAAACGTTATGTTATAACCAAACATTTAAAATGGCTAATTTGTTCTAGCATTGTATTTTCCAAAATTATTTTGGTACATATAGGATGCTTTCCCACAAATGCCATTGTTTTGGTCTTTATTTTTGAAATCTTTAGATTATATCCTTTGCAAGTTGGGTTTATTTGATTGATAGACCTCTGTAAGTCATCCTGACTTTCTTGGATTGTAATTTGATCATTAGCGAATAGGAGTGTATTACTTAAGTACACTCCACTTTTAAGCTTAATTCCTAGGCTAATTTTGTTCTTCCATTCTTGAATATCATCCAAGTATATGCTAAACAATATTCACGAAAGGTTACATCCCTGGCAAACTCCTTGTTTTGTTTTTTTAAATTTCTTTTGAATATTTTTCTTCTAGTTCTAAAATAACGGAGGTATTCTGATACATAGATTTAATGTTAATGCTTAAGTGGTGTTGATAGCCTCTTTTTTCCATAATTTCCCATAAAATAAAACCTTTCAATTTATTGAAAGCTTTTTTATAGTCAATGAAAACTAAATGAGTCTCTAGATTAAATTTCCTATGTTTTTCTATTAGTAAAAATATTATCTGTACAGGAGCGACATTTTCTAAAACCATTTTGTCCTTCTTTTATTAAAATATCAGATATAATAACAAGCCTTTTATATAAAATTTTTGCATATATTTTATAGTATGCGGATAATGAACTAATACCCCTATAGTTGTCACAGTCACTTCTTTTCCCTTTCTTTAAATAAGGAAATCACTTTTGCTTTTTGCCATTCTTCAGGAACACTGCATTGCTTCCAACATTAATAGGTGGAGGAGTCTTAGTTTTAACCCCCAAACCTTCCTATTTAATTAGTTTAGCATGTATATTGTCAAGTCCCAGAGCTTTTTGATTTTTGAATCAATTTTTAAATAATTATTGCTGTTTGTAATTCTTCTAAATCAATGTCATCTACGGAGGCTGGTACAGGCATTTCATAAAGGAAATGTTGGTCTTCAGAGTTATACCATAAAGTTTGATAATGTTCAATCCATTAACATTCTTTTATAACTTTCAAATAAGTTGTGTCTTTTAATTCACTATTGACATGCCTGATGACTACATGCTAGCTGATGTCTGCCATGAATGTCATTTTCTAATTCACTTATAAATCTTTCCCATTAGTGAACTTTTTTAACTATTTCTTTGACAATATTTCTTTTAACTTTGTATATTTTGCTGTGTTTCATCAGTCTTCATTTGTAGATGCTTCATATATGCTACTTTTTTTGTGTCATGGCTTGTTCTATCTCTTCAACCCATATTTTAAGACCTTTCCATTTCCTAAATTTTCTTGATTTTCCTAAAGCTTCTAAAGCCACGTCGTTAATTATGATTTTGTTATTTACCCATTCTTCTTCTAGATCGTCACTAGTGATGGTATCTTCAATCTTCTGTGCTATTCTGGTTTGACACAAATATTTTACACGCTATTGTCGCAGGAGTTTAAACTTGAAGACTTCTGCCATTTTCTGATTCTGATGGTAGCTATTCGAAAATTTCTTCTCCCACCTTGCTACGATTTCTATTTTACGTTTTCATACATAAATAAAAATTACATAAAAGTTACTGTAAGCAAGGTTATCATGAACACCATTTAGATTACAGTGCATTTGAAACAATTAAAATTCAATTAACATTAATACTAGAAAATTAAATATCATGAATAAATTGAAAATGACAACAATTGTTAGTAATATTAGAAAGAAAACAGCCCTTCTTGGGCAATGAGCACCTGAGGTAAATCTTTTCGAAGTTTTTTTGTCTTTTTGTCACAGTCAGTCTGTCACTTCACATCATAATCAGTCAGTGCCTTTTATCCCTTGGGCCAAGAACTCAACGCCGTGAGTAACCAGGGCTTCCAGATGGTCACTAGCCTTGGAATCCATGGAATCTCACTTGCTTAACTATTGTGACTTCACAGGGCATAGTTGAGCAATTAGGCAAGCAATACCCCCATGACAACTAGTGGCACAAAACGGCATGTGACTTACGAAGGGTTAGTGCTCTTATTAACCAGTCACTGTTACATAAATAGTATTTTTTTGGACGGTGAATTCAGATAAATAAGGATTTGAAGGGTGCTGGAATAGTAAATGTTTATGCACACTGAAATTACAATTGTACCTCGTGTTCTTCCCATCAATTTCTTCATAAGTCATCCTTCATGTTAGAAGGATTACTATTAGAAAAAATAAATTATCAAGTATTTCTTCAAGAGGTCACACTACAATTTATATTTGTCATTCAAAGATGTTCATAAGCAATTACTAATTGTATGTTCTGAACATGTGAGGGCAGTACAAACATAAACAGGCTCTATGTTCTTGTGAATAGCACTAACAGAACTTAGAAAGTGGCTTTACATTTTTACAATAAAAAAAAAAAAAATGTGAAATCACTTCTAATTACAAAATGCACTTAAAATAAGCAATAATACTTTTGAACTTACTTTTAATCTTTTTATTTGGCAATGAATTTACTATTTTTTTGTGAAATAGTTTCTGCCAAAAAATAAAAATACAGTATGTTTAAAATTATGAAAATTATTTATTGTATGGCCCTCTTTTTTTTTTTTGTATTTCGAAATTTGTTTTAGTTGTGTTTTTTAAAATTTTTATTTATTAACCTTTTTAACTTTTCCATGGCTTTGGTGCAATTGCAATGTCTCTCTTTACTCTAAAAAAAGAGTCCTTTTACACTTTTATGCAATTTTGAGAAATTTAAAGGGTTTAATGAAAATAGCACTTGCTTCATGTGGTAATGGAAACTTCCTAGATCCACAACCTCGCAGCCAGCTGAACAGAGTAGTACATAGTAATTAAATAGTTCTGTTACCTGTAGATGTGAAAAGTCTGTTTCTACATTATGTTCATATTAAGAGATATTCAAAATATCTTTTAGCACGAAAAAATGCCTGTACTCATTATTTTGGAATGGATAGCACAAAATGTTACTTTTCTTAAATCTACATATGCCATAAAAAAATATTAAGTTATGTATTTGCTATAGGAAAAGTGCATATTTTCATGAGAAAATACGTTTTATGAGCCTTGATACCAAAAAAGTGGATTTTTCATACTGCTGTTTTAAGTAAAATTCTACTCCGATACGTAGTATAGTCATAATCCACATTTTTGTTTTTTGAATGTACTGCAAAAGTTGCTTTTGCCCCAGTGTCCATCTGAGAGTGAACAACTATAGTGCCTGGACTATACATAAAATTTTCATACATATTGATAGTTCATAATGGCCCATCAAATTTGAAATGAATATTTTAAATTTTGGGAGAACTTTGGCAAACATTTCCAAAATTTTCTGTAAAATGACTTCAAATTTTCTTCTTTCTGGGACAGAGAAAAGTACAGCTTATAAAAATGGAGTGTGTCTAATTTTCAGAAATGCAATTCAAGTTTTGAAAATTGTCAAAGTTGAACATTTTTTGGACATCCTCTTACAATTACATTATTGAAGACAGATTTTTTATGAATAATATCTGTTTCAAAATTAGACCTTTAAATAATATCATGTTGAGTTTTTTGCAAATATGAGTAGTTTCATATAATTTTGACCGAAAGAGTAATGGGTAAAAAAAAAACAACATAATCTTGATATAAAAACTCTTTCTAAAAAGCATCTCCTTTTTTTTTTTTTTGGAGATAACAGAACACAACAACATTTGAACAATAACCTGGCATTGGTCTGATTTTCGTTTAAAACCTTTAATAGTTTTAAAATTCAATTTTCTATTTTGATGTGTTGGGAGTGTTATGCAAACACTATCTGTAAGGTGGCCTATTAAAGCTCACTTGCAAAATCAAAATGCTTGAGTTCAAAACCCAGTCTATACAAATATTTTTACAAGTTGGAATCACTTTTGCACTAATATTGTAATATTATGTAAGAAATAATGCAAATAAGTATGTGCTGTAGTGTCACAAATTAAAGTGTTGTGTATTACTAAAAAACTTATACAAAATTTCAATTTGCAATCATATGAAGTATGATTAATGAGGTTGCATCTCTGAAATTTATTGTCAAAAATATTTTGATATTTTTGTGCTTAGATAGCTTGAAAATTTAAGATTGCAGCAAAAATGTAATTATTTATTATATTATGAATTAATTATCAATTATTTTAGATGTTAATACTTTTACCGTCTTGTGTAGGGAAAACAAATTAAGGAAGGACCTTTTTTATAAAATAGGAGCAGGTTGGGGGTAGTGGGCTAAAAATTTGGAAATGTTATTTTGTTTTGGTTCCAAACATTCCACTCAGAGTTGATTCAATATGTTTGGAAGTATTATGTCACCATCTTATTCCACTATAGACTTTATAATAATGCCCAAAATCAGGAAGTTACTGGGGTCAAAGTTGGCATATTTTATGGTTTTGATTGTGTTTATGTAGGTCTTACCTCAAACTTCATTATAAAGAGTAAACAGTAGAACAAAATACGTGATCTAAAAATATTTACACAACAGAAAAAATTATGTTCTCTGTTCTAAAGGGCAACAATTAAAATAATAAATTGATGCTTCCCTTATTTGATTTGAAAAAGCAGTACATAGGTATGTTCAGTTGAAATGGAATACCCATTATGTCGTACTGTAGGTATTACAAACGCAGAAGATAGAAAAGTTGATTTTCAATTTTTGTCAATTACTTAACGAATAATGAATACTGTAATATGAACAGCTGTGTAGTTAAATTTTACTGGACCATCTTTCATATAAAACTCATTGATATTTCACTAAACCATTCAGAATTCAAAGAGATTAACAAAAATGTACCTAAACCAATGATTTTGTTATCATTTTATACAATAATGAAAATATTTTGGTTTGTACCTAATTTGTTCTGAATCTTCAACAAAAATGCCTATTTGTTTTGATATGTATTTACAAATTTTGTACTGTTTAGAAACTGATGGCATCACATTTTGCATTGTGTACTCAAGACCATGAATCTCACAAGATGCACAAAATAAAAATTAAAATTAAAAAAAAATAATATTAATAAAAAAAAAAAACACTGGCTAATTCATACAAAAACAGGTACCTATCATAATCAATTTCTATTTGTCTGTACTTCTTCTCTGTAATAATACGGAAACTACTAATTATTCTGTCAGCACAAAGATACAGATATATGTATTATGTACCACTAAACATTAAACTAAAGATAAACATGGTATAGAAATGAAGTAATTTTCAACCTTTTGAATGATAAATCAAATCATTGAAATATATTTCGTTCCTGGCATTTTCAAGCAAGAGTAGTTTTGTTGTACTCATAAGTTTCAAAGTATTTCAATTAAATTGTTGGTGCTCCATAGTCATTACCTCCATTTCTTTATAATAATCGTTTCCTCAGTTTGAGGACTTCTTCTAAATGGATGTTTTTTATAACCTTCGGTGATTTTATATGCAAAACCAAATCCCCAAACAACAAAATATTGACAACCACAGAATTTAAAATCGGAGTAAATGGTATGTGTACATAACAAAACAGGCACTGTAGCATAGTACATCTTCAATTTTTAATGTGTATTGATATTTAATTGAATGGAAGATGGGAAAATGTTTATTCTAAATTATTGAGTTTGGCTTTTCAGGGTAGTTTTTCAACAAAGTAATAAAATCAATTCTTCAGTATTGCATAATTTTGTTTTCTGTCACTTCTTTCTAGTATATCTTGTAGAATACATTTTTACACATAGTTATGGCAGTGACATTCCCATCCAAATTTCTTTGATGTTTGTGAATGATTCAGTAAATCTTACAGACATAATTCATCTTCAAAACAGTTTATTAAATAAATATTTTAAAAATTTTATTTGTACTATATGAAAATATTGTTTTGTTCTCTTTTGAAATGATTTTTCAATACATAGATTCTTCTAACCACATGATTTGTGTATGTTTGATGGAAAAAATAAGTGTAAGATTAATTGGGAGACATTGATATGTTTACAATGTAAGAAAAGAAAAGAGAAATACAAAATTATTATTGGCACTTTTTTTTTCTTCAAAAATGTATCAAATGTTCACAAAAGCAATTTTCTTTGTGATGATCACTAAAATTTGCTTCGTGGGTTTCTAAACAAATACAGGACACACACACAATTAATAATTTAAAATTCCATTATTCATGGCAACAGTTCAAAAATTCATAACCTACCCAATAATTTCACAACAGTTTCAAACATTAAAGAAAAATGATACTGTAAAATTCAAGAATAATAAAAAGAAGTAAACAATAACACTCTCATTTCCAAGTCCATTTCTTTGTTTCACTTCATGAGAACGTCACATTACACTACTCTGTGACCTGCAGGAAACACACAACACAAGTAACCTGTTTCTGAGAATTAATATACATACCAATTATGTATTCTTAAAAAGAGACTTCAAAAATACTAAGGTAATTTCACACACAGACTAAAGACATTCTTAATGCTATGTAGAAGAAATATGGTCACTACACAGTAGTTCCTGCTCTGTTATTGTAGAACTAGCACAGAAGATAAAAGCAAGCATGAGAAACTGGAGATGTTACTTTGAATTTCTACATTTAAACTTTAAATAACATCAGTCCAATCTTGAGAAATAAACAATTATAAAAGAATTCAATGAACAAGTGAATTAAAGAAATAGGGTCATGGAAAATAATGTACAGCAAATGGAATGATACTGACAGCACAAGGAAAGACATATTATACATGTTCAGATTATCCAGTTTCTCATTATTTCAGATCTCATGTTATTAGTTTGTATTTTTAATAACATTTGCCACTGCAAATGTAAATGTATATGTTGATAGCAATAATTTTTTAATGATTCTGAACTATATGACACTAGACTTATACATTTTTTATGAAATAGCATCACAGTATAATTAAATTGAAGAATACTACTTGTATTCCATACACAACTTAAGACATATTTCAAAAGTCACTGCAACAATCTTGAATTGTAAATATAATATTTAGTTTTTTCATCCTAACTGCTACTATTTTGGAGATGCTGTTCCATTTTGGAATAATATTGGCCAAACATACAACTGCATTAGTCAATCCTCTTTCATTACTTTAGTTCGGCAGACAAATAGTGAAGCTGTGAAAGGCATAGAGTGGCAGATTCTGTTAGTAGTTAGCTGGAGGGCGAGACGGGCTCATCCTCCCTTTCTGCCTGAGACAATGTTGGACTTGGTGCAGAATGACAAGTTGGACCTGATGTAGTAGAAGACTTACTCACAAGTAAAGTGCCAAGGGACATTTTTGAATCCAATGACACAGGAGAAGTGCTTAATGACCGTGACTTGTGACTTGAATCGCTTGCCATTTTCACAGTTACACTTGGAACCGTTGAAGGTGTTTGCTGCCGAATGGAATCAGATTCTGAGAAACAACTTTCAGACAAAGATCCATCAGCTGTAAAGAGCGATGCATTGGAATGCTCATCACCACTGCTTGGCGATCCTACAGGAATGATAGGAGCTGGAATACTAACAGCAATTGGTGGTGAAGACATAATAGTCTGCATTGCAGCTGTCCTGGGATTTGTTATGTCACCAGATTCAACACTAGATGGAACTTTTAATACACGAACTTTTGTATTTTCAAGATTTGATTTTGGGACAGGAGTCGGGGGAGCTGTGATTCCTGTAGTTGAAAGCTGGACTGAAGGAAGAGAAGTAAGACATTTTGTCGGAGTAACAGGAGCATTGTTTGTTCCTTGACTCATTATTACTGATTTGCTGCCTTCTTTATTTTTATTACCACCACTTCCTCCTGTTTCATGCTTCCCAGTACTTTGGTTCTTGTGTTCTGCTGCCTCAGCATTGCTGATGTTATCTTGTTTTTTCCATTTTGTTCTTCTATTCTGAAACCAAATTTTAACCTGAAACAAAAAAAAATTAGGTAAAATTAAACACAAACAATATCTATAAACCATAGAGCATTAGAGTTTAAATATAATGAAAATTCAAAAACTGTAAATACATAAATCTATGTTGAATGGCTGTTAACCAAAAAAATGTTTGTGAGATTAATAAAAACCTAATGAATATTTCAGCCTATCTTTAATAACAAATACTCTATGTCAAGTAATATTACAATATAGAGAATCACCTATTTCATCACAACAGAAAGCGCTTTAACATGGATTTTATACTTCAAGAAAAGATGATAATCATGGGGGGAAAAAGGATTTACTTCACAAATTTCAATACTTCCTCAGAATGAGACATTGTTTAGCACCCCATGTAATTGTAGAGTATAGTTGTGTTCTACATGTTCATTCTTTCATGTAGTTGTCCTGGAAGTAAAGAAAGTGATAGAGCATAATAAAACATCTCTTAACCTTAGATACAACATTAATCTGCAAGAGTCATCAGTTGAAGAAGAAGTAGAGAAATGGAAGCAGAAATCACTTCATGGTGTATATCCTGCAGCAGTAGCCAATCAAAATGTAGACACGTAGGTATCGTGAAAGTGGTTCACTGTAGGGTTCCTGTGCCCTGAGACTCAGGGCTTCTTTTTCGCAGGCCAAGACCAACTAGCAGCAACCAACAACTCTATCAAACATATAGTTAAAGATCCTGAAGTAATGAATGACGACTGCAGAATGAATGGCAAAGTACCTGAATCAATTCAGCATTTATATTAGCAGGCAGTCACTAGCACCCATTGAATACAAACTAAGTAAGACAAGCTGGGACTCATAATCCAGATTCCACTGACAAAACACACTAGCAGATTTAAATTTTCCAAGAAATTTCTTAAATCTCATCCGCAATTACAAATTATAAGGTGTGATAAAAAAAGGAAGGTTATGCTGCCATAGATAAGTTTGACAACTTCACTAAAATTTAAGCACAGTTTTTAGATACCAGAATATACATATAGCCTACCCATTAATAAGAGTATACAAAATTTGTTCAACTAATCTCTTCAAGATATCCTCAAGAAAGGAAACATGTGAATTACACAGAAAGACTTCCAATAAATTTTATTCTAAAACATGAACTATCCCTCGTGTGTGTCACCTAGTGAAAGTACATAAACCTTGGGCTCAACCATTTCAATGATAGGATCCTCACGATATGCAATTTGGTTTCAAAGAAATGAGGGTGCCGTGTGATCATATTTTCGTATTATTCAACATAAATCAATTTTTCCAAACATCCCTCATCATCCCATTATTTATGGTTTTGAGGAATACTTAAATGAATTAACTGAAATTAACATTTCATCTCATGAAATACGTATAATGGTCAGAAGCATATTGAATAACATGGAATTTTATTTCGACAGTGTATTGTATGGACAAATTGAAAAAACCACCTATTTGTTAGTTCACTTAGCTCAATTCTCTCCAAAAAAGTGATGTGAAAATTAGGAGGAAACACATTACCTGCCTTGAATATTGAGATTTACAAAAGATATATTGATGTTTTTGTAATTATAATGTAATTATAAATATTAGAAATACTGTAATCAATAAATGAATACAATTAAAAAGGTTAAAGATATTTTAAAATATGAATGTAATGAAAAATAGGATATAAAGTTAATAGCAGGGTTTGTGATTTATATTATTGATTATGTACAGGACACACCAAAAGAAAAAACAGAATGCAGGAACATGTAACGCAAATTACCAACCCAGAAGCAAAATTCATAATCTCAGCATAGATTGGATATATCTCAAAAGATAGATTTTGAAAATGGGAAAATTATGAAATAGTAAAATTGAGAGAACAATCGATCAACTTGTGTTTGAAAGAATTCAAAATAAACTACATAACATGATGAATAGTACTATGGAATTGAATGAATTTACAAATATGTATGACCATTTACTTTCAAAATTGAAAAGATTTTAATAAGTTTTACTAATAATAAACAAGGACTGTTCTCCACCTGCCTCTAATTTATCTATGACCTAACTGTTTCTTCCAACCATTACTCCATCAAACTCCTACCCTCTATCCCCCTCACACTTTGTTTCTGCATCTTTCTTCTTTCACTGCATGAATGCATGTCATAAATACCCTCGCCCGAATGACATATTTATACAATTCACACTTCTGGCCTAAGTGTGCTGTATATACATTTACGAGGTTTTAGCGTGATTTTATTTCTTCCCAAGTTTACCCTTTTTGTCCTGATGGGACGCATATTCGACCACACACCGAACACCAACACACTTGCGGGCTCCTCTGATCTGGGGTCAGCAGAATGCAAAACCCTCTGCAACAATACACTTTTGAGAGACAAGGGACACACAAACAGGAGTGGGGACTCAAACCTGCAACACTTTCTTGTCAAAGTCGGGACACGTTCTTGGCTACCACGGCCATCCATGTAGACAACAATTTTATAATCTTTAATTATGTTTTTAAATTATTTCCCAAGTAAGTTTCTCAGCTTTCTTTGTTTCTAGTTTGTTTCTTGTTTGTTTTATTGTTCTTTTGTTTATTTTTTAATTTTGTTCATAACTTATTTTCATAATTTCTTTTCATTTTACCTTGGACTTTGTCCCCTGGTAATTGAAATTGAAATGGAAATTGTATAAAAAGAATAAAATCATTTTATTATTATACAAATATTTAGTACAAATATGTATTCTTTACAGTTTTACTTAAAAATGGAGGAAACTCCTTTACAGATGTATCTAATGTTTTAAATATGTGAAAAATATTCAAAATGGGATAATTTATATTTATAAAGGAAAATAGAATAATAGCATACCAATTAAAACTGAAACAAGACTATCAGTTAAATCAGGGATTCCCGACCTTTTTCGTTCATTGACCCTTTTTGAAAAGAACTTTTGTCTCCATCGTTATTCTGTAAAATACTGTATATCACACTTAATCACAACACAAATAATTGTGCATAACTGCCTTAAAGCAAACAATTATGTATATCGATATTTTTGTAAATACCTAGATTTTCAATAATCGAAAACACTTCTGCTTTCGAATAGCTGAGTTTCTAATCTTTATTGTTGTGCAATGGTTACAAAATATTGAGTGTTTTTAACTGACCACAATATTTTTCCAATGCATATTTTCTTTGGCGATGGAATATCATTGTGAAAATATAGTTTACATTTGTTGGATTTCCTTAACATTCTAAGCTAATGCAAACTTAGGTTCTTCGGTGCAGAAAGTTGAAATAGGACCCATATCTCTAATAACTGTAAAATTAAGAGTTTTAATTCTAATTGGTAGGCCCTAAATAATATAGCATAAAAAGTAACCATTGGAATACAGTTTGTTTTATTCTTTGCCGATATTCATCCGGGGGGTACCTAGCGAAATGGATCAAGACGTAGCTCGCAGGCTTTGCATTTGGGAGACCTGGGTTCAATCCCTATACCGGCCATCCTGACCAGGGTGACCGACTAGATACCCCGGGATCTAACGGCGATGAGGCCAATTGCCATTTGAGGGACATATAATGACTAAATACAAAAGTAAGTTACATACGAAGTTGTACTTTCACTTTTCTTGCTAATACATCCCACGGTTGGTTAAATTTCATTTATAACAAAAAAATTAGTTATTTTAAGCATGAGCCGATTTCATTTTCAATATGCACGACTCCTTTCAATAATATGTATTTGGCTGAGAGCCAACGCACGACAGTGGAGCGCTCCATATTCATTGAACAAGACACAACTTCTACCTAGTTGTGTCTACATTGCCGCAACGCACAGATGTAATTTCTATTACATTTACAAGTTATGACTCCTAAGGCGGTTCCATACATTCGGCATTCGCCGAGCAGCTCGTCCAATCCCGAACAGCTGAAGCGTTCGGCGAAAGTTTGCTCTCTTTGGTGTCCTAAAGACCGACACGCGGTGCATAGGGCGAATACCGAATGTTTGGCGCTCGGCAAATCGAAAGCAACTCGACCTCACTACTCGGGATTCACCGAATACCGCATGTGTTGAGCCACCTTTAGTTGAATTCTCGGCTATCCGGGAGACGACGCGTCGTTGGCTGGGGTGCCGACGTTTCGCCTGACATGTCGCAGGCTTCCTCAGGGCAGTGACCAAGGGACCTGAGGAAGCCTGCGACATGTCAGGCGAAACGTCGGCACCCCAGCCAACGACGCGGCGTCTCCCGGATAGCCGAGAATGTATGGATTCGAGCCGCGGAAGCTTACGTGTACACCTTTAGCTGAAGACTGTCTAATTTGTCGGGTTATCAGTTCAGAATTCGAAGATATTTTGCAGAGAGACTTAAACAGATTACATTCCTGGGCGGAAACAAATGGCATGGAAATAAAGTTCAAAGAGAAAAGCAATCTAGTTTAGTTGGGGTCGAAGTCATAGTGAAACTGCGTACTAATTGAACAACCATATTATACCTCGAGTCACAGCATGCAAGTACTTAGGAATATATTGAACCATAAATTGAGCTGGGAAAATAAAGCAAATTTCGGTATAGAAAAAGCCCGGAGATCTTTACATTTTGTCATGCGCATTCTAAAGTAACTAGTGTATAGGGTTACCAGACATCCTGATTTATCAGGATTTTTGAACCTGTCCTGATTTGTTGTCGAAAGTCCTGATTTTTTAGTCTGTGTCATCTATTTATTGTTTATTGCAATTGTAATATTTCTAACATAAATATTTAAAAAATAAAACTGTTTTAGAGAAAAAAGTGATATTAGAAGTGAAACTCAGTGTTTCTAACTGTAAGAATATTAGGTATATTGTACGGGAAATATTGAAACAGAGATAAGAAGAATCTTTAATCATAAAGCTGCCGTCGTCATAATTTACTGCACAGGGCAGAATGAACATATGAATTGATCTCTTTTCTGTAGTAGTACAAAAACTGTACCTGTATAGCATTATAAAAATTTTCCTGATTTTTTGTG